CCCATAATTTGGCATTCCTGTGACAACGATATCAAACCCTCACTTATATATTTTGTACTTCTGAAATAGTATGTTTCCAATACATTTAAAATGTCTGTGTTCCAGGGCAATCTAGGTTTGGTACTGAACGAGTCGGTAAGCACAGCAAACTTGCAACCGATCGAAGTTGTACCAGTTGTGGCGGCTGGTATTGTATTCGGAATATTAGTTATCATCGGTTTCATTGCCACTACTATTTTCATCGCTGTCCTCATCAGAGGAAGAAAGAAATTTGCTGAGGTAAACTTCGCACCGTTGAAAATTGTACATCGTCGGAAATACTAAGAAAAAAAACAGTGGAATATTGCAGTTTCCGTTCTTTGTGCTCGTTTGGCATATGACAGTGGCGAATGCAATTCATATGGTGATGGTCATCTCAACAATACTGCCCATTATGCTCATTGAGGTCGGTGTTCTTTCAAGAGATTGCTAAATGTCCAACTTGATACGAGAGTATTTGGTTGAAGAGGGTTCATTCAGTAGTCTTGTTCCAATTATTTGGTACTGCTTGCTCCTTCAAACGTAACAATTCACTTCTGCTCAGTGAACACTCCTAACCCTGACAATTCGGTGGTGGGGGGAGGGGAGTAAGCAAACACTGACCCTTGGTTCATTTTTCTTTACATAGATCACCACAACAGGTCGGTTATTCTGCGAGTTTTGTCCACAAATTCTGGCATTGAAATAAATAAGGTTATGGCATGAGGGCCATCAAGTTGAGGGGAGAGGAGGCAACTCAGTAACGGCTTGGGCGCTGAGGGCACAGAATGGTTCTTTACTAGTTAGCTGAGTTTGTACAGAACACCTTGTGATGACGCAAATTCCTGTCACTAATGTGAATTACAGGTATCCTTTTGCAGCTTCACTGCAATTTTCTTTAGAGCTTGCAAGTCTCACTTTAGATTCGCTATCCAACATGAACTAATGGAAGCGCGAAATGGCCCCTCCGAGCAGGAGGCTATTCTTTTGCTAACTTTTACGACACGACCTGTGGCGAATTGAACAGTAATTATCATAAGAAAACACGTTCACAAGCTACCTGCACCGCTGAAGGTCCTGTAGTCGCAAGTGGTATGTAGTGGTTCACAGAGAGCATGGAATCGCTTGTGAAGGATT